TCTTCACAGATGTTGCCAGACCTGCTGGGTTTTTACAGCAACTTCTGTTTTTCTTTCTGATTTACAAGTTTCTACAAGTTCATTAGCTGGTAAGAAACTTATGTTACGATTATCTGTAAATTGCTATAAATTAGAAAAGTGTGTTATTAAGCCCCAGAAATAGGTGAAATTCAACAGCAATATAGTAATGGAATGTAAGTAAGCCAAAGTAGGGTAAGGGAAGGACTGAAAGTTAATATAAGGAAAGTAGATTTCAGACTAAGACAAGGTACACCAGAGGAGCTCAGCCCCATGTGTTGCATGACCTACAATATGTGGGAAATCTCAGGAGCTCCTGGCAGTCTGGATGGCCACGTCTCCAGGAAATGCTATTGATCAGTTACAGCTGCTGGCTTTGCAGCATGAGCACAAGCTGCAGGCAAAGCGGTGCATTAGTGAGGATGGGAGTTACGTGGATAGCACGTTTGTAGATGTGGTCACTCCATAGCTAAAGGAAGTGCAGTCAGAGGGAATGGATCATTAGTCAGAAGAAGAGAGGTAAACAAGTACTCAGAAACATCTTGCTCAAGAACAGATTTTCTCTGTTGGAAAATGGTGGGAGTGATGGTTCCTCCAGGGAGTAAAGCCAGAACCCAGCTGCACCCAGAGGGGGAGCAGAAAGGCAGGGAGAACAATACTGGTGGGAGATTCAATAGTGAGGGGCACAGGTGGGCATTTCCACAACAGTAGACATTACTCCAGGACATTGTGCTGATTCCCTGGGGCCAGGGTCAAGGATATAACTGAATGGCTGCTGGGCTTTCTGAAGTCAGTCAGCGATTGTAGTTCATATTGGGACCAACAACATGGGTAGGAACAGGGATGAGGCCCTGTGACAAGAACTGGGGAAGTAGGTAGTGGATTGAAAAGCAGGATCTCAAAGGTTGCATCTCTTGATTGCTCCCAGTGCCATGTGCTAGAGAATATAGGACTAGGCAGATAGAATAGATAAATGCACGGCTAAAGAGTTGGAGCAAGAGGGTGGCTTTAGATTCCTGGATGACTGGGTTAATTTCTGGGGAAAGTGTGACCTGTACAAGTCTGATGGGTTGTACCTTAACCAGAATGAGACCAATATCCTTGTGGAGAGGTTTGCTCATGACGTTGGTGAGATAGAAACCAAGTTAGCAGAGGGTTGGGAAACAGTGTCGAGGTACAGTAGGAGGTGATGCCCAGACAATTATAGAAGAAGAACCAAATCCATCTGGAAGACAGTATGAATATAGTCAAGTTAAGGCTCAAGGGGAAGAGCAGATGGTGTTTATTTTAAAGCAAGGAGTATTGACAGAAAGGCAGATGAATTGAGGGCATCGATTAATGCATAGGGATGTGATATCCTTGCTATCGTGGAGAGGGATGGGGGAGCGACTGGACTGGCAGCTTAATAATCTGAGATATAGAACCTTTAGGCGAGATAGGGAATGGGGGTGCTGTAGAAAAGAGTGTCACAAAAAAAAAATTGATCAAAGAGTCAATCACTGCAGTAAGTGGGGATGGTATTGTAGAAAGTTCCTTAAATGGGCCATATGGATAGAACTTAAAACCAAAAACTGGGCAATGACATTGCTGGGGGTGTGACTGTACTTGAGACCTCCAAACAGTCAGGCAGAGATAGACAAGACAGATGTGTAGGCAAATCTCAGAGAAGTGGTAAAACAAAGAGTAATAATAATAAGGAATTTCAACTTCCCAATATTAACTGGGATAGACAGTGAAAGGTTTTGAGGGGGAGCCATTCTTAAAATGCGTCTGGGGAGCTTTTCAAGCCAGCACAGAGGAAGTCCAACAAGGAAGAGGGTGGTACTGGACCTACTTTTAGGGGACAAAGCCAGGCAAGTGGTATATGTGCCGAATGCCAGAAAACCCATCCGGTTCACTAATGTCCATCAGGGAGGAAAATCTATCATCTTTACCTGGTCTGGCCTACATGTGACTCCAGACCCACAGCCATGCTGACTCTCAACTGCCCTCAGAATTGGGCGAGCAAACCACTCAGTTGTAAAAATCGCTATGAAGTTTCAACGAAGAAATGAAATCGGACAGATCACCCAGCATCAACCTAGGTATCGGAGAAAACAACAGCAGAAACGGCCCTATCAATACTACAAAGTCCTCCTTACTAACATCTGGGGGCTAGTATTGGGACAGCTGTCTCACAGCTTAGTCAAGCACCAGCTTGACATAGTCAGACTCACAGAATCATACCTTTCAGACAACGCCCCAGACACCGCCATCACCATCACCACCTCTGGATATGACCTATCCTACCGGCAGGACAAACCCAGCAGCGGTGGCAGCTCGGTGGCATATAGTTGTCAGGGAATTGGTCTGGGAGTCCTCGACATTGACTCCAGACCCCATGAAGTCTCATGGTTTCAAGTTAAACATGGGCAAGGAAACTTGTCCTCTCTCGACTGATGAATTAGTACTCCGACATGTTGAACAACACTTGGAGGAAGCATTGAGGATGGCAAGAGCACAAAATGTACTTTGGGTGGAAGATTTCAAAGTCCACCATCAAGAGTGGCTCGGCAGCAGTACTACTGATCAAGCTGGTCGGGTCCTAAAGGACATAGCTGCTAAAATGGGTCTGTGGCAAGTGGTGAGGGAAACAACAAGAGGGAAAAACAGACCTAACCTCATCCTTAGCAACGTGCCAGCTGCAGATGCACCTGTCCATGACAGTATTGGTAAGAGTGACCACAGTACAGTCCTTATGGAGATGAAGTCCCACCTTCAAATTGCAGCAATCTTCAGCCTGAAGTGCCAAGTGGATGAACCATCTAGGCCTCCTCCAGTGGTCTCCAGCATTACAGATACTAGGCTTCAACCAATTCGATTCACTCCATGTGTTATCAAGAAAAAATTGGAGGCACTGGATACTGCAAAGGCTATGGACTCTGACAACATTCTGGAGACATGGTGAGGTGAGGGTCTCAAGGCTGGCCGACTGCTTCATCCTGATGTTGGTCTCTGTGTCGGGGTGAATGAGCCTGGATCCAGGCCAATGGTTAAGCACTTAAGCCGGACTGTAATGTTGAGCTTTTAACTTTATTTCTTTATTTTTCTACCTTTATAGTGTAAGAACATAAAGATTTATTTCTGTACTTTAAGATGGCGATGGAGAGCGGCAACATTGTACAACACTTTTCACTGTATTTGTAACAAATACACATGACAATAAATAAATCAATAAGACTTGTGCTCCAGAACTTACTACTTCCCTAGCCAAGCTCTTCCAGAATAGTTACGACACAGACATCTACTCGAAAACAAGGAAAATTGCCCAGGTATGTCCTGTACGCAAATAGCAGGACAAATCCAACCCAGTCAATTACTGCCCTATCGGCGTCCTCTAGATCATTGGTAAACTAATGGAAGGTGTCATCAACAGTGCTATCAAGCAGCACCTGCTCCGTGATAACCTACCCAGTGATGCCCAGTTTGGGTTCCACCAGGGCCACTCAGCTCCCAACCTCAATACAGCCTTGGTACAAATATGGACAAAAGAGCTGAATTCTGAAATGAGGTGAAAGTGACAGCCCTTGACATCAAGGCTGCATTCAACTGACTGGCAGCAAGGAGCTCTTGCAAAACTGGAATCAACAGGAATCGGGGGCAAACTGTTTGCTGGTTGAAGTCATACCTAGCACATTAGAAGATGGCTGTGCTTCTTGGAAGTCAGTCATCTCAGCTCCAGGACATCTCTGCAGGAGTTCCCCAGGGTAGTGTCCTAGGCCCAATCATCTTCAGCTGCTTCATCAATGACCTTCCATCCATCAAAAGGTCAGAAGTGGGGATGTTCACTGGTGATTGTACAATGTTCAGCATCATTCGCAACTCCTCAGATACTGAAGCAGTCCATGTTCAAATGCAACAAGATCTGGACAATATTCAGTGTTGGGATGATAAGTGGCAAATAACATTTGTGCCACACAAATGCCAGGCAATGACCATCTCTAATAAAAGACAATCTAACCACTAGCCCTTGACATTCAATGGTGTTACCACCATTGACTCTCCCAATATCCACATCCTGGGGATTACCATTAATCAGAAATTCAACTGGACTCACCACATAAATACAGTAGCTATAAGAGCAGGTCAGAGACTCACCATCCTGACTTGGAAATATATCACCGTTCCTTCAGTGTTGCTGGGTCAAAATCCTGGAATTCCCTCCCTAATGGCATTGTGCGCCATCTACAGCACAGGGATTGTAGTGGTTCGAGAAGACAGCTCACCACCACCACCTTCTCAAGGGCAACTAATTCTCAGGGCAATAAATGCTAGCCAACAAATGACACCCTCCTACCATGAATGGATTAAAAATCCTTGAGAGGTGAAAGAGTTTCTATAACCTAACTTGGGATGAAACAACGACACCAGGGACAGCAAGAAGTGCAGATGCTGGAGTCAGAGATAACACAGTGTGGAGCTGGAGGAACACAGCAGGCCAGGCAGCATCAGAGGAGCAGGAAAGTTGACATTTCGGGTCGGGACCCTTCTTCAGAAAGGGTCCTCTGCTCCCCTGATACTGCAGGCCTGCTGTGTTCCTCCAGCACCATACCACGTTGACACAGACACCAGAATCTGCCAGAAGGGATAACAGCAAGGATATTGAAAATTCTTCTCTCCCTCGCTCCCAATTTTAGAAACTAGTACAATTGTAAAAAAACACTTGGAAAAACCAGCGTTCACTGAGAAGTTATCAGCCACTTTGGCACCCATGAGGAACAACAGCTGCATAACTGGGACTCAGTCTTCATTATCACAAAACCCCCCAAAAGCTGTATTCCCTGGGTTTGTGTGTATGCATTTGATGTTGCATTTTGTTATTTTTCTCATGTTTGAACGTGAGTAAAACTCTACTAGTTTTCACTCAAGAAAACCTTGGAATTGGCTTTCCTTCATTTATGATCTGGTCCACAAAGTTTAAATGAAGAGTAATAGCTACGTGCTGAAAACTGAAACAAAAAGTATTTATAACGACTGACAGACAGTGGGTTTAAAGAAAGGGGCACATCACCCCTCACCTGGTCATGACAAATGTATCTTTGCTTTTCTTGTGTTCTTTTAGTTTTAACTTCCCCTGATACACAGTTCTTAGGTGACATCATCAATCATCTTGTGTTTAGTCTTCCTCATTCTGGTATAAAACAGCTTGAAGTAGTTCTTGCATTTCTGCTGTTTGCTGAGAAACATTATTGAGTTGCTCTATCAACTGCCTCTGGCTGAACGCTGCTGCAAAATGAGAATCTGAAAAAAAAAGACAATGTTCCAGTTGTGGAAGGGTATTTCAAGGTAACATGTGGGGTTGGCTAAGCAAACAATGTGATTTTACAGGGGTAACCAGTCAGAAAGAGCAAGTCTGCCCGGTGAGACGGGGGAGTTGGTGGGGAACGCATCTGCAAGCAAGGAGAGACGAGATGGGCAGCTATAGAAAGGTGAAGGGAGAGAAGCAAGTGGCTGCTTTGGGAGGGCGGAAGAAGCCAGCGGCTGTGAAGGGATGGGGCTCAGTGGGGACAAATCACACACAGTCATCGAAGGAATTCCTACTTAACTGGAATCTAGGAAAACTCAAGGTCACAGTTTTAATGAATTCCTTGCACTTAATGTGCTTTTTTTTTATAAAGTGCGCATCAATGTTTTACAAAAAAAAGAAATTTCTTTGCAAACTGGAGGCTTGATAATTAATGAGGATATTGATGACATACATCAATTCAAATACAAGATGATTGTGAGCTAAATTTGCCAGCCCCTGAAAAACGTGGGCAGTAGTGAATCAGTTGTGAAAAGAATGGCAAGATCGGGACAAACAAGACTCTCAAGGTTGAGAAGAAAAGCCTGACTTCGCTCCCAGGGTTTTCCTGGCGTAGTGAGAATGTAGCTACTGAGCGATGAGGTACATATTTGCAGGTATTTACATGTATTCTTGCCTGGTTTACACACAGCTAGCTATTTTCCTGGGCAGCAGAGAGAAACTCGATGGTGAGAATAACAAGGTGTAAAGCTGGATGAACACAACAGGCCAAGCAGCATCAGAGGAACAGGAAAGCTGATGTTTTGGGTCTGGACCCTTCTTCAGAAATGGGGGAGGGGAAGGGGATTCTGAAATAAATAGAGAGAGAGGGAAGGCAGATGGAAAATGGATAAAGGAGCAGATAGGTGGAGAGGCGACGGACAGTCAAGGACGCGGGGATGGAGCCAGTAAAGGTGAGTGTAGCTGGGGAGTTAGGGTGGGGGCTGGTCAGTCCAGCGAAGACGGACAGGTCAAGGAGGCGGGGATGAGGCTGGTAGGTAGGTAGGTAGGAGATAGGCGTGGGGGTTGAGGTGGGAGGAGTGGATAGGTGGGAGAAAGGACGGACAGGTTAGGGAGGCAGGGACGAGCTGGGCTGGTTTTGGGATGCGGTAGGGGGAGGGGAGATTTTGAAGCTTGTGAAGTCCACATTGATACCGTTGGGCTGCAGGGGAGATTTTGAAGCTTGTGAAGTCCACATTGATACCGTTGGGCTGCAGGGTTCCCAAGCGGAATATGAAGTGCTGTTCCTGCAACCTTCAGGTGGCATCGTTGTGGCACTGGAGGAGGCCCAGGATGGACATGTCGTCCAAGGAGTGGGAGGGGGATTTGCAGTGGTTTGCAACTGGGAGGTGCAGTCGTTTGTCACGAACCAAGCGTAGGTGTTCCACAAAGCGGTCTCCAAGCCGCTTGGAGGGCGGGTTTAGCAGCAAAGTGCAGTTGAAGCTACAATGAGATCAGTGACGATCTTGTTAAGTGGTACAGCAGGATCATGGGTCAAATGGCGTACACCTATTCTTCATTTGAATATTCAGATAGGAGCAGATTACCTACACTCAGTCACACATGAGGAGGAGATCATCTGAATGAATGAAAAATAATCATTTTTCAGCATATGAATAAATAAACCAGGAAATTTGCAAACACTTGGAAAACTGAAAGAATTTTCTCTCAGAAACCAAAAAATGACCAATTTCGCTATAGAAATTAACTTGAAGGATTTTTTGTTTACCTTTTCTGAAATTCCGTATAGTTAAAAGGCCCAGATGTTGAAATCTAATTTCCTGATGCTTGAGAAAATGTAAGACGTAACCTACAATCTCCTTGACGTGTGGTCTCAACAGCAAGGTAAACATTTCTGTAATGAAGACAAATCACATTACTGCGTGACCTCTGTTCTAAATGCAATTATTTGCCACTAGTGTTAAACATGCTTGCACACATTAAATGAGTGACACTGTTAAATTATATGCATTGTTCAGATTTTGTTTAGCTGAGAACAATTCATTCAAGGTTATTTAAACTTCATCTCTAAATGAAAAAAGCTGTGAATGTTATAAACTTCTTGAAAAACCTATGTTTCTTTGTCCTTGAATTAATTGGTGCGGACATTTGAAATTGAATTTTCAGTGTTTTCAGGGAAATACAATTTTCAACTCTGAAATTAGATAAGAATTGTTCTTTATTGATGCACCAATCTAACGAAAACCTGAAGTAGAGGTAGTAAGAACTGCCGATGCTGGAGTCAGAGATAACATAGTGGGGAACTGGAGGAACACAGCAGGCCAGGCAGCATCAGAGGAGCAGGAAAGGTGATGTTTTGGGTCGGGACCCTTCTTCAGAAAACCTGAAGTAATTATTTTTTGCTGCTTTCTAACCGTACTCCAGGTGTGGTCTGCTCAGAATTATGACTGCTTCAAACTTGTTCAGCATTTTACTTGCTGTATTCATTGATGTCTATAATTGCTGCAAAACATTAAACACTCTTCATAATACAGACAAAGAAGAATAATTGTCTTTCCCTGCTTTGCAAAGGATTTTTTTTTTTGGACGAAGAAGTTATTTTAAGTTAGGTGTGCCATTCTGGCATTTTGGATCACACAAGAGAGTTACAAGTCAAACCATGAGCAGCCTGCTTGTGTACTCCATTTCAAAACTTTGATCAACTTGCTCAGAAAATGATTAAATAATGTGCCCAATTCTCTACCTAATGAAATAATATTCTGTTATTAGCTTGGTAACTAAGGGCTTAACCCAATTACACTTTTCAATACAAATATATGTTTTCTGCAAAAAAAAACTCATAAAAAGTGAGAAGGTAAATTCATATATAAATTTAGCAAACCATAAGTCTTTATTTCACATTTTACCATCTTGTCCAAGTTGGCTGATTATATAAGCAGCCTGGAAGGAGAGGTCGATATTTCCGGACTGACTTGAGAGCATCAACAGGTAAGCTGCTACATTTACATCTGATTCCTGTATTATTTGTGTTCTTATTTTTTCTAGAAAAAGGAAGCAATTTATTCAACAAGGTCAGTAACTCAGCTCAATATCTGTAATATCCACAATCAGACCTGTCACATAAAAGAGTACAATTTGGATGGAAGTTACAGGTGAATTGGCAGATTTGTGTAACTTGTTAGTCTTGTTTTTCACAATGGTGCTTTTTAATGTTGGGGCTATGCAATTAAAATCAAAATGCCAAAGTTCTTTTATGCCTTGTTATGAAACTGCACATGGACACAAAGCTAGAATTTGTGATTGGCTTTCTCTTTAATTTGAAAACTTTTGTGTAATTTTAATTTTTTCGTGGTATTTCCAGATGTAGGAACAGCAGTAGGGCATTCAATTTGATCATAGATGATCCGTTTCTTGACTCAGTTTTCTTCACTGTGTTCCACATTCCTAATAGGATTATACTAGGAATGTCTATCAGAACCCACATCTCCTTTATTGTGAATTGTACAACAAATGATACAAATTCTTCTGTAATCTCATTATATAAGATTATAAAATTATAAAATTATAAAACCTGAAGTATGTACAGAGTTTTTCATGGACGTTTGTTATACTCTAAAACACAACTTCCCAACCATGGGGCACAACCTCTCGTGGGGTTATCTGTTGAAATGTTGAGGTTGTGACTCCCATACAGTAATGGCAGGTACAGAATGGAACAGGACCAGGGGAGCAGGGATAAAAGTGCTCAACATCACGGCTAGGCTCATTGACTGAGTACTCTCTCAATGGGGATCCTGCCTCTATTTTGGCAGATCTCAGTTTTCCCAACAGGACAGGCAGCTAGTATATTCATCAAGTGTAGACATGATGGGCTGAATAGCCTTTTTCTGTGCTGTAACTTTTCTGTGGTTTCTACGGGAAGCTTAAAATGTGAAATACAAACAGGATACTTGAACACAGCAGGGCCATTTGAAATTAATGCTTAATTTAAAGCAACCCCATTTCACTGATCCAAGGACCTTAATCTGCAGTGCGGAGAATCACAATTTATTGAATGAGACACAAATGGTCTTGAAGGACAGATATGGCCTGTTTAAGTGTCAAGATCTGAAGTGATTTGACTCTGCAGTCCCTTAAAAACGGAAACAAAAACTGATGCAGCTTAAAGTTACAGTAGAAAAGGAGACATAGTTGCTGGGATGCATTAATTGACAGGTCATTGTTGATAATTTCCACAAGTCCTCATTTCAGCAAAGCTTGTGACAAATGCATGGCTGAGCTTCAAAAGTCACCAAAACCATATCAGTGGGTTACTTCATATTGGGTTGACAGTTTTAGGAGGTTAGTAAGTAATTAGTAGCTTTTGATGTGGATACTGATTAGAATTTTTTTTAAAAGACAGATTGATTGCTTGGGGGATTTAAAGATTTTGAAAATTCTTCATGAATGAGTCTTTTTCATGATCAAGTGTATATAGATGAGACTGTTCTTAGATTATTAGAAGTTTTACATCTCCACGTGGATCCTGTGTGAGTTGTTATGGAATTGATAGTGAGAGAAGCAAGGCGAACATAGAGGAATCATAGAATCCCTACAATGTGGAAAGAGGCCATTTGGACCATTGAGTCTGCACCAACCCTTCAAAGAGCACTCTATCTTCGCATTTATCATGGCCAATTTACCTAGCATGCAAATCCCCAGACATTACAATTTAGCATGGCTAATCCACCTAACCAGCATAAATTTGGACTGTGGGAGGAAACTGAAGCACCCAGAGGAACCCCACACAGACATGGAGAGGATGTGCAAACCTAACACATATAGTCACCAAAGGCTGGAATCAAACCCGAGTCCCTGGTGCAGTGAGGCAGCAGTGCTAACCATGAGCCACCATGGCAACCAGTCTATCATAAACCTTGGCTGAATTCTCAAACAACTGATGTTGGGCCTGATAAGCAGCCCACCTCTGTACTGTCCCACCTCCTTGGTCATCCTCGGAGGTTGTGGACCCAATTCCATCCCACCCCCACCTCCCTGATTGCTGAGTGAGGGTCTTTTGAAAGAGGACTGGTCTGCCAAGTCAGGAAATTTCTTGACTTGCGTTTCCTGCCTCAGATACCCAGAATCAGAAAGAAAATGAATGAATTGTTGACTATCACCTACTCATTACATAGTGGTAGAGTAGTAATAAATGAATATCTTTACCATTGTTTGTGAGCTGAGCAATACAAGCTGTGACATACAGCAAAGTTTCGTTATGAATTGTGAGGAGTCCCAGGACCTGGAGCAGGACCACAACACATCCACTGTCAATAATAGCCTGAAATGCAAATAAAAATGAGTTTTGAATAAATCAAAATCCAAAATCACAATGAAAGCTTGTTTTGACCTTTTAAATTAAGTCGTTCATGAGCACTTCACATGTCGCCCTTGAAGTGAGGAAGTTAAACAGACAGCCGCTCACAGAGAGAAGGAGGCTGAGGATACCTTCGAACTCCTCAGGAATCCTGGTGTTGAAAGAATAGGCTTCCACGCCTGAGTGCAAAGAGGGTGGTTGTTGATGTGGCTGTATAGTTGTGACAGCACATTCAGGTTTGCGCTCCACTGACAATAGAACAACATTGGGCAATCAACAGACCAATGGAGGTAGGGAACAATAATTTATTTCTAGGGATAAGGATGTTAAAGGAAAAGTGTGGTAGCAGCAATAGTGCCATGGCTGGTGAAGGGATTTGTGAATATGTTGTTGAGGGAGTGAAACCTTTCTTGGGCAATGACTTTACATCTTAACCGATCCCTGCATTAAAAAAAATCCTCAAATCATCATTGGTAACTTTGGTCATCATCTGAAATGTGTGCCCTTTGACGCTTGTCCCTTCTGTCAAAGGGAACAGTTTCTCTCAACTAACTCACTCACTACCCCTCATGATTTTGAATTATGCTTATAAAATCTCTCAAATCTCTTCTTTATCAGGTTTCAGCAACCAATTTATGTAACTTAAATCCCTCACTTCTGGAACCATTCATGTACATCTTTTCTGCACCCTATCTAAAACATTCACACCTTCCCAAATTGTGGCTGCTAGAATTGAAAGTAATACTCTATTTGAAACAGTAACAAAATTTATAAAGGTTCATTGTAACTTCTTTGCTTTTGTACTCTATGCCCCTATTTATGTGGCCAACAATCTCACATTGCCTTTTTAATCATTTTTGTAATCTGCCATGGTACCTTCAACTTTTTGTTCTAGGTCCCTCTGTTGCTCATAAACTCATACACATTTACTGCACAAAAGGAAGCCATTCCGCCCATGCCTGTCAACAAAGATTTGACTGCACTAATCCCAGTTCCCTCTATTGTCATTAACATTAAAATGATAGTAAAATGTAAGGTATGCAGGGTAGTTTGATCTTAGAGTAGGATAATAGGTCAGCACAACATTGTGGGCCGAAGGGCCTGTACTGTGCTGTACTGTTCTATGTTCTATGTTCTTAATTGTCTTCCCGGCTGCGTGAAAATCAGAGTCCATGATCAGTGTGCATGGAATCTTGGAACAACTGAGTAAGCATGTGCAGCTTAGAGGGAACGATGCCCAGAGGGCTATGCAAACACAGGTGAATATCTCAATACAGCTTAAATGCTACAAGATTTTCTCACTGAGCCACCTTTTCAGGCATGAGTTCCAGGCTTCCATCACTCTCTGGATTCTTCCTGCTTCCTATTTAGAATTGTATCCTTTATTACTTTGCCTTGTTCTCTCTGCCAAAATGCATCACTTCACGCTTCTCTGCGTTAAATTTCATCCACCATAAATCCACACATTCCGCTAGTGGGGCTTTGTTCATGAGTGAATGAACATTCTGCAGGGACATCGAGAGAAGCCCACACTAATAAAGCTGATTTTATGCAGTTGTCTAAGTAAGTAGATAAGTTTATATGAAGGGTAAAAAGGGAGAAGACAGAAGAACAGCATGGTCAGAAAAGGATGTTGAGGTATATAATGTCTTCACTGACACTGAAATTCATTCAATGCTAAAGCTGTAGGTGAGGTCATTTTAGTACGGAAATCCCAATGGGCAGACATGGCAAGTAGGGTTTTTAGAAGAAAAACGAGGGACAGAGGAGAAATGAGGGATGGAAGAGGGTGAGGTGAACAAGAAGGCAGCAGAAGAGTACGAGAAATGGTCAAAGTGCAGCTTAGTGATGAGAAACATATTGTACTTAAGATGGCTTTGATGAAACAAGTGGTCAAATATTGAGCAGGGCAGAAACATTTATGGAAAGGGCTTTTAAAGAGCCATAATTCTAAAAGTTACAGGCTGTTTATATAATAATCCACAAAGACATTACGAATTGCAAGGGCCTTGATCATGACTGAGCGAATATTCTGCAAAGTAAATAAAACTGAAAACCAGTGGTTCATACCTGCTATGTTCATTTCACCACTTATTTCATCGAAGCCATCATGACTACAATATGTTTCTCATCACTAAACTGCACCTTGACAATTTCTCCTACTTTTCTGATGCTTTCTTGTCCATAACTGCTATGCTCAGTAACTCCCTTCCTGATTTACACTTTATTAATATTCTGCAAGTTTTTTAATGTTAATTTACTTTTATATTAATACAGGCTGGGCCAACATTTATTGTCCATTCCTAATTGACAAGAGGGCAGTTAACAGTCAATCACATTGCTTAGGGTCTGGAGTTACAGGTAGGCCAGCAGTTACTGTGAACTAATTCCACCATCCATTATGGCAGGATCTGAACACAGATCCCAGAATATTACCTGGGGCATCTGGTTTAATAGCCTAGAGATAAAACCACCAGACCATCCCTTCCCCGACGAGAGAAGTAAATGAAGCATTACAGCATTACAATATACTTTGAGTTTTAAATATATTACTGCCATAGAAACAAATTGACTTTTTACTATATTGTACTCACTTTTTACTGTCCTCTATTTTCAGCATATTGAGAAACAAAATCAGAGATTGCTGGACAAACTCAGCAGGTCTGGCAGCATCTGTGGAGAACAAACAGAGTTCACGTTTTGAGTCCAGTGACCCTTCTACAGCGTTAACTCTGCTTTCTCTCCACAGATGCTGCCAGACCGAAGTTTTCCAGCAATTTTCTGTTTCTGTTTCTGATTTCTAGCATCTGCAGTTCTTTGGAGTTTTCTTTGCCAGTATGGTTTTTGTCACTTCGGTTAAAAAAAGATCCTTTCAGAAAAATGCTGCTTTGATCAAAATAATGGATAAAATTTGCCAGATTTTGGGGTCATTAGCTGACTTCATAGGAAGTTATCCATTAATTCTAGCAATGTTTATGACATTGGCTCCTATTTTCCTGATGGTTGTTTAAATAGGGCACCAAGTCAAGGGGATTTCCAGACGCCCAGCAGCAATGATGTCAGCAAGTAGGACAAACAACCAATCACATTAAACACACCAGGAAATTTATAATGTTGAGTCATTTTACTTTTAAGTTAAAACTTTTGAAAACTATGCAACTAATTCATATTTGATTCAATTTAGATCCTAAGTTTTTTTATCTATAGAATTCCCACAGTGTGGAAACAGGCCATACAGCCCAACAAGTCCACACCAACCCTCCGAAGACATCCCACCCAGACCCATCCCCCTACCCTATCCTACCCCTGTTACCCTGCATTTTCCATGGCTAATTCACCTAACCTAGGCATCCCAGAACACTATGCACAATTTAGCATACCAATCCACTTAACTTGCACATCTTTGGACTGTGGGAGGAAACCAGAGCACTCGGAGAAAACCCACCCAGACACGGGAAGAACATGCAAACTCCACCTGACTCTTGACAGTCACCTGAAGCTGGAATCAAACCCAGGTTCCTGGCACTGTGAGGCAGCAGCACTGACCACTGAGCTACCGTGTTGCCCCTAAACTTTAGATAAACTTTAGAAAGAAACATGTGGCATGTTTTTATCATAATGGATAGATTTGACATTCCACAATTTTAAAATTAGTTTTTCAAGGCTAATGAGAATGTTTATCAATAATTGTCGAGTCAACATGTATTTAAAACACTGGTACACCTCATTTAACAAGATGCAATATTTTTAAGAGTTTTTATAGTCTGTGGTGCATCAACAGAGCACCCTCTGCAGTAAAGTAGAATCAGTGGTAGCAACTTCCACGTTATTCTGTGTATGTGTAGATTCCTGAAGTTCATGCCAGTTGCATTGAACTAATGAAGACAAACATTGGTAGCTTTCTTGTCAATACCACTACCAACTCTGGATGATCATTTTCTATTCCTTTTCTAAACTCCTTGTCTCTTCGATTTAATCTTCAAAAAATGTCCATAAATCTACCAAAATCTGGAGGACTGGAAATTCATGATGTATGATGAAAATAATGAATTAGCACAATTTGGCCTAAATGGCTCGGCTTGTATTTTTCCAAAACCTAAAAACAATTTAGTGTTTGATATGCCAATATGCTCCATGTTACATTCCTCCTATATCGTGTGGCTGTACTAAGTGTATTGGAAAAGTAGACTCCTTGTGGTAACTACCAATGCTACTCCTGGAAGGTAAAATGCCCACTGTTTGTGCTTGATTCCACACAATGTGCCTCCTTCAAAACTCTGTGACTTCACTTGGCACTTTTATTTGACAGCAGGGCAGATAATTCTGCTGTGGCGCCATTCGCTGATGCTCCAATACATTCTGTAACTGATGTTCAATTCATTAAAAATAAAATTTCAGAGAAATTAAAATGTAAGTTAATCAATCCTGGACTTCCAGAGAAGAGCAGTGTTTACAATACACAGGGGTCAGAATTGGGGATATGTCATTGTGTCTTGTGGAAGTAATCCTCCAAACTGTACGCTATTTGAGTGTGGTGCCCTGAATGTATCACAGCGATTTTTGAATTTAACCTCAGGTGGGGAGGTTAAACATACAGTTTATTACTTAACATCAAAGAATCATCATTGAAAATGTACATATCGTGAACAGAACTTCTCAGATTGTCATGGTTTTGAAATGTTAGGGTTATTTTTGAGTAAGTGTATTTTCCCTTTTAAATGCAATAACTTACCTGCTGAGTCCCACTCGTGGCTAGTTTTTGGATTATGTTTGCAACATAATTACTGATTCCAGGACTTGTTTTGTAAATTAACAGTAACTTCCCCAAAGTTTTTAAGATATTCTCAGACACAATGACAGCCTGTAAAGAAAATAAAATCTTAACCAACTAAACCACACTGATAACTTATGACAAAAATACAGATTAGCTTAAGGCTTATGGCAAGAAACACTATTATAATGCTGTAAAATAGCCTCAAATATTATTTAAATGCAAATTCAAAACACCAAAAGAAATCTAGATGTTGGTGTGTTCGCTGAGCTAGGAGGTTTGATAGCAGACGTTTCGTCCCCTTACTAGGTGACATCTCAGTACTGTGGAGCCTCCTGTGAAGTGCTGTTTGTCTTGTGCCGGTTTGAATTTATATGGTCTGGTTTTTGCTGCTTCCGTTGGGGGCTGGTTCTGGCCTCACAACTCAATGTGTTTGTTGATGGAGTCCGTGGATGAATGCCAAGCCTCTGAGAATTCCCTGGCTGTCCTCTGTTTGGCTTGTCCTATGATAGTAGTGTTTCCCAGTTGAAAGTGTGGTTTTTCTCATCTGTGTTAATTGAAACCAAGATGGCAACTGACCAGAGTTAAAGACCCGATAGTTACCATGGACAGGATGAAGGTGGTTTACAAGATACCATGTGGAGACTGCACAAAACACTACTTGGGACAAACAGGCAGACAACTAGCAACCCGCATCCATGAACACCAGCCAGCAACTAAACAACACGACCAGATGTCTTTGGTCATAACACTGACATTTCCAGGCTTGGGCCACTGGACATAGACTTCTAGTCACAAATTTACATTCACCCATCACCTCTGATATCAGCCACTTTTGGATCCAGTTTGCCAAATTGTGCAAGATCCCATGGGTTCTTAGCTTCTTAACCAGTCTGCCATATGAGACCCTGTCAAAAGCCTCAGTGAAGTCCATGTAGAATACATCAGCTGCACTACCCTCATCTACACATCTGGTCAGCTCCTGGAAAAGAAATCAATTAAACCTTTCAGACAAGATCTCCCCCTGACTATCCTTAACTCTCCAAGTGGAGATTAATTATGTCCCAATATTTTTTTCCAATAGTTACCTTCCCATTGATGTTACTGAGACTTACTAATTGAATTTAGATTCCAATTGCTCCATGGCAGGATTTGAACCTCATGTCCCCAGAGCATTAGCTTCAGTCTCTGGATTACTTATCAAGTACCAGTACCACCATGGTGTCACCTTACCCTGCTCTGCTGTGCACCACTTACTTTGCGACCAATTTTTATCTTATATATATATGATCCTCCATTATGTTATCTCAGTTATCAATAAATATAGTGGGTATCTGTAACCCCAGCATAGACCCTTTTAGGATACTGCTAATTACTATATTACAATGGAGTTCATATCCATTATCCCTAATCCGTCTTCTGCCTCTAAATCAATCACCTAACCAAATCAATAATTTGTCTTCAACTCCATGAGATTTAGTTTTATCAATTTGTCTCTTCTGGAATCTATAAATAGTACATTCATAGATAGTTCACCGTCTACTACTTTAGGTATTTCCTTAAAAACTTTTACTGGGTTAGTTAAAGATGATTTACCCTTTCCAACACCATCTTGACTCTCTTGAATCAGCTCAAATGTTTCCTTCGCTTATTTGCTCTTTCCTCAATTATAGATGAGGATAGGTTCTTTCATGCTTATCAAGGTAAGATGCAACTAAGGTGCAGAACATTTTTCCAGCCAGCAGCGATGTTATGCACTCCCAAATCCAGAACAACATAGTCAGATGCAGAATTAGCTTCCTCTGCCGGACTCATTTACATGTCCAAACCCCAAGTCTAGAAACGTCAGTGTTACGTTAATTTCCCCTTTTCTTTACACTTGAAGCAATTTTGCAAGTAGTCCTTAAAGGATGATCACAAGCTGCACTCTGAGGTCTTGAATCAGACTACTGCTGACTGATTCTAATTGGAACCTTTGCCACTGAAATAGTGGGCTGCTCTTAGGCAAAGGTGGCAGAACAATTATCAACCAGCTACAGTAGGAATGGGCCTCCAAGCAGATTTCATCTTTTACTGTTTCTGGTTAACCTGATATGCTGCAGGCAAACCCAAAAAGTAAAGCTTACTTGATTGATAGCAAGGTACATCATATGCCTCTAGAAACCATAGTAAGGCTAACCTAAATATTTTACTTTGTTTACACTGAGGTCCTAAAACATATAAATCAGTAAACAATTTGCCTAGGTTTTGAAATATCTCCTACCGTGTTGGAATGATTCTCTGATAGAACGCTGAGAACGGAAAGAGCTGCTTCATTCACACTTTTATTGGAGAACTTCAACAATTCATGTAACTGAGGCAAGAAGTTCATGGCCACAATATCATCTTGAGTGTCTGCTGTTATAAGGAAAGAGATCACCAGCACATTCTGAAATACAATTCACAACACTTCTCCTCATGCCAGAGCCACTCAACAAAACAGAAGATTTAACCCCATTGGAAGAGAGGAATGAATTTGGACTGCTTCCTATGAAGACTTTAATTCTGTGCTGAGTATGCTGTAATGTAGACTGGCACCAGTGTTCTGACTTTAAACAAAATAGCAGAGGCGATGGATCAGGTTTGGTAAGATTCAATAAATGAAATGCATAAAGGTAAGTCATAAGAGCAAGGTAGCAAGAAGAGAAAGAATGATCAGAATGCCATACAAAGTTACAGAATTGTCAAAGTGTTCAATAATAGATAGGGTTAGAGGTCACAAAAAATAGTAAAAAGACAGAACCAAAGACTCTGTATTTGAATGCATTAGGAACAAAACAGATAAATTGTCAGGAAAAGTAGCAATAAATTAGTATGATCTGTTAGCCATTTCACAGACATAACATCAAAATTAATATTCAAAGATTCATGACCTTTAAGAAGGACAGGAAGCTTGGAAAGGTAGAGGTCCTTAATTTTGGAAATCATGTTGTAAAATCATTTTGAGTAGAAATGAGAAACAATGAAGAATCAGACGTGGGAATAGTCACACTGTAGAATGAGGTATGCAGGGGAAAAGAAAGCATTCTTTTTATTCATTTGTGGGATGTGGGCATCACTGGCTGGCCAGCATTTATTGTCTGTCCCTAGTTGCCCTTGAGAAGATGGTGGTGAGCTGCCTTCTTGAACCGCTGCAGTTCATGTGTTGTAGGTTGACCCATAGTGGCCTGAAGAAGGGAGTTCCAGGATTTTGGCCCAATGACAGTGAAGGAACAGCAATATATTTGCAAGTCAGGATGATGAGTGCCTTGGAGGGGAATTTGCAGGTGATGGTGTTCCCATGTATCTGCTGCCCTGGTCCTTCTAGATGGAGTGGTGGGGGGGTTTGGAAGGTGCTGTCTGAGGATCTTTGCTGAATTTCTGTGGTGCATCTTATAGATGGTACACAGTGCGGCTACTGAGCGTCCATGGTGAAGTGACTGAATATTTCTCCTTGCCTTGCTAATTAAGCAGGGTGCTTTATTTTGGATGGTGTCAAGTTTCTTGGGTGTTGCTGGAGCTGCAGCCATCCAGGCAAGTGGAGAGTATTCCATCACACTCCTGACTTGTGCCTTGTAGATCCTAGACAGGCTTTGGGAAGTCAGGTGGGGAGTGACTCAGTGTAATATTCCTAGCCTCTGACCTGCTCTTGCGCCAATATATTTATATGGCTAGTCCAGTTCAGTTTCTGGTCAACATCCCAGGATGGTTATAGTGGGAGATTCAGTGATGGTAATGACATTGAATGCCAAGGGGTGGTGGTTAAATTGTCTTGGAGATGGTCATTGTCTAGCATTTGTATGGTCCAAATATTACTTACCACTTTCAAGTCCATGCCTGAATATAGTCCAGGTCTTGCTGCATTGCAATATGGACTGTTTCAGTATCTGAGGAATCATGCATAGTGCTGAACATTGTGCAATCATCAGTGAACATCCCCACTTCAGATCTTATGATGAAGGGAAGGTCATTGGTGAAGCAGCTGAAGATGATTGAGCTGAGGACACTACCCTGAGGAACTCTTGTAGAAATGCCCTCTAGCTGAAAGACTGACTTCCAACAACCACAACCATCTTCCTATGTGCCAGGTATGACTCTAACTAGCAGAGACTTTGTTCCCAATTGTCATTGACTCCAGTTTTGCTCAAACTCCTTGATGTCACACTCTGTGAAATGCACAGATGTGAAGGGTTGTCACTCTCAGCTCACCTGTGAGAAACGTATGGCGATGATCATCAGTGATTTTAATCTACATATAAATTGAATGAGTCAGTTTGATAATGGTATTCTGAATAATGTGTTCATTGGGTATTCATGTAGCAGCTTCTTAGGGCAGCCTTTTCTAGTCGAAACAACAAAGCATGATGTAATGTGCTGGAGTTCTGAAATAGTTGGGCACCTGTAGGTTTCAACAATCATAACATCATTCAATTTTTAAATTTGGATTGAAGGAGAGAAGAATGGATCACACATTAATGTTTTAAACTTAAATAAGGGAAATTATTGGGGGCATGAATACAGAGTTGACTAAAGAGAACTGGTAAACTATGATAAAGGATAAGCAGATCGAGATACAGTGGCAGAAAATTAAGGAGATATTTGAGAATTCTCAGAAAATGTGATACAGAAAAATGATGGACTGTACTTAGATTTCTAAATGGCACTTGAGAAATTGAAACAAAGTAAGTTATCGTGAAATCCGTCATAACATTTTAGATGTCTTGGTTGCCTATTAGGAAGCGAAGGGTGGCCATACCTAGGTTGTTTTTGGGTTGGCAGGATGTAACAAGTGGAGTGCCATCATTATTAATGTTGCGTTTCAATCATTTACAATCTATACAAATGGCTTGGATGAAGGGACCAAATGCATGGTGGGTAAATTTGCTGATGGTACAAAGATAGGTAAGAAAGTAAGTTGTAAATAAGCTATAAATCATCTGCGTGAGACATGGTAGGTTAAGTGAGTGGGCAAAATAAAATTACAGATGGAGTATAATGCAGGAAAATCTGAACTTGTCCAGGAAATACAGAAAAGCAACATATCATTTAGATGAAGTGAGTTGCAAAACTCTTGAGGTAGGGTGGGATTAGGATGTCCTGGTACATGAATCACAAAATGTTTGTGCGCAGGTACAGCAAGTGATTAGGAAGTCAAATGTTTATTACAAGGAAATGGAATATAAAAACACGGATAGTTTGCAATAGTTGCATAGATCATTGGTGAAGTTAAGTGGGAGAACATGTTAAAAGGAGGATGTAAAGCAGTTTCAGTAGAATTCAGACAGGCTTAGCAATTGGACAAGAACATGGTAGATGGAATATAATGTGGAAAAATGTGAGGTTATCAACTTTGGGAGGAGGAACAGATGTGCAAAGTATTTCTTAAATGATGAGGTTGGAAAGCAGTGATGTATAGATACCTTGGCATCTTTGTTGATGAGTCACGAAAGTCTAACATTCAGGTGCAGCAAGCTATTAGGAAGGTTAGTGGAATGTTAACAGTTATCATAAGAGCATTTTTGAGTACAGGACTAATGACACGTTGCTTCAATTGTGAAGAAGCTTTGATTGACTGCATCTAGAGTACTGTGTGCAATTTTATTCTCTTTATCTCAGGAAAGATATTATTACTATTGAGTAAGTGCAACAAAGGCTCACCAGACTTGATCCTGGGATGGAATTGTTTCAGAGATAGTAGGAACTGCAGATGCTGGAGAATCTGAGATAACAAGGTGTAGAGCTGGATGAACACAGCAGGCCAAGCAGTATCAGAAGAGCAGGCCCAAAACGTCAGCCTTCCTGCTCCTCTGATGCTGCTTGGCCTGCTGTGTTCATCCAGCTCTACACATTGTTATCTCTTGATCCTGGGATGGTGGGACTACCCTATAAAGAGAGTCTGGGCAAATTCAGCCTGCATTCTCTAGAGTGTCAAATAACGAGAGGTGATCTCATTCAAATTTACAAAATACTAATTGGATTGGATAGTGTAGATGCAGATAAGATGTTTTCTCTCTACAATCAGGGACACAATTTAAAAATAAGGGGAATGCCACCTTGGTCTGAAATGGGGAGAAATCTTTTCACTCAGAGGTTTGTGAACTTGTGGAATTCTCTACTACAGAATACTCAGTCTCTGAGTATATTTTATTTAGAGATTTCTGATTACAATTAGGGTATAGGGTTATGGGGATGGAGAGTAAAAGGCTTGGAAGTGTTCAACGAGTCATGATTTTGCTCAATGAGCTAAATGGCCTAATAGACTCCTATGTGAGGCTACATCTGGAGTACTGCATACAGTTTTGATCTTTTTTCAGAAACTATGTAAATGCATTAGAAACAATTCAGAGAAGGTTCACTTGGCTGATACCGGAGATGAGCAGGTTATCTCAGTAAGAAAGCTGAGAACAGGCTCGGTCGGATTCCGTTGATGGTTAGTAGAATGGAATGTCCTGTTATTGAACCTGGGGAACTAGTAGAAAGAACCAGGAAATGGCAGACGAGTTAAACAAATTTGCATCAGACTTTATTCCAAAAATACTACATAATCAAAGGTTTAAAGGGGGAGGGTGAAGGAAACTGACACAGTAACTATCATTGGAGAAATAGTACTAGGGAAACTAATGGGGCTAAAAGCTGACCTGATAAGTTGTATCAGAATTTTAAAGGAAGTGGCTGTTGAAATAATGGACAGTAATGGTCTAGGAATCCTTGGATTCTTGGAAAGTCTGGAAAACTACCAATGTAACACTGCTGTTCAAAAAACGAAGGAAACAAAAATAAATAAACATAAGCCAGTTAGCGTGACTTCTGACATTGGGAAATTAAAGTCTATTACAAAGGATATAATAACAGATATAATAATAGAATCATATATTATGATCAAGCAGAGTCAGTATGGCTTTGTGAAGGGGAAATCATTCTTGACAAGCTTATTATAGTTCTTTAAGAACGTAACAAGCAGTGTAGATAAAGAGGAACCAATGGGCATATTATGATTGGATTTGCAGAAAGCATTCAATAATGGACTGCAAATCAGGTTACTTAATAGCATAACAGCCGATGGTATCGAGGGTAGTATATTAAGGTAGATAGTGGAAGACAGAGGGTTAGGATAAAGAGGACATTTTCAGAATGGCAAGCCATAACCACTGGAGTGCCACAGGGGTCAGGATTGGCACCACAATTATTTATAATATATATGAATGACTTGAATGAGGAAGTGAATGCGCGATCACTACATTTTCGAATTGCACAAAGATAGATGGAAAGACAAGTAGTGAAGATGACAAAGAAGTCCACAGAGGAATGTAGACAGGTTAACTGAGAGGGCAAAAGCTTGGCAGATGGAATATAATGTGGGAAAATGTGAGATTAGGCAC